CCCTTCCCTTGAATCTGGACTAAATTTCTTCAGTACACCAAGTAAGCTTGCTAGTTCTAAGGCTAGCCTTTTGAAGCCTTGTGCCACCATGTAAAAGGATCAAACCTGAAACTACTGTACTTTTCTTTTGGGAGGAAAGAGGGGGTGTTAAGCTTATTTGATTTTTTAAAATTTTGTATCATTCTTCATTTTGTACATTTATGTACATTTTGGACATTTGTGTACGCTTTCTCCTCTCAGATGTGATCCCATGAAATGCCCACCACTAGTTCACCCTACCCATCACCATAGTCCCTTGTGCTCTTCCCACTCCTGTTTTGAATTTTCACCTCCTCCTTCCCTGAAGAATATATCTGATTTATAGTTGCCTGTTGAGTTTGATTTTTAATGTATTATAATTACCCGGTCCCTTATTTGTTTCCTCTACATTCCTCCTGTAAGTGAAACCATCCAATTTTTTTTTCTTTCTTTCTTATTTTACTGAGCACATCCCTTCCAGCTCCATCCATGTTGCTGTGAATGTCATGAGTTACCTTTCTTGATTGCTGAGTAATATTCCATTGTGTGTATATACCACATCTTTTTCATCCAGCCATCTAATTTTGGGTATTTAGGTTGTTTCCATAGCTTATCTGTTGTAAAAAGGGCTGTACTAAACATAGGGGTGCAGGTGTCCTTTTGAATTAATGTTTTTGTGTCCTTTGGGTAGGTTCCTAGGAATGGAATTGCTAGTCCTTATGGAAGCTCCATTTTTAGTGGCCTGAAGAATCTCCACACAGCTTCCCATAGTGATTGGACCAATTTGCATTTGCACCAGTAGTGTAGTAGTGGTAAAAGGTAGTACTCATTGCGGTTTTTATTTGCATTTCCCAGATTACAAGTGATGTCGAACATTTTTTAATATACCTGTTAGCATTTGCATTTCCTCATTAGAGAAGTGTCTTTTTAGCTCTTCTGCCCATTTTTTTTGACTGGATTGTTTACTTTGTTTTTGTTGAGTCTCTTCAGCTCTTTGTAGACCTTTGTTATCACACTCTGGTAAGTAGTATTGTGTGCAAATATTTTCTCCTAATCAGTGGGGTGTCTCTTTGTTTTGGTTAATGTTTCTTTTCCTTTAATTTGAGATCTTAATGTAGTCCCAGCTGTTCATCTTTTCCTTCACTATTTTTATTTAGGTGATAAGTCTTTAAAGATGTTACTGAGATGTATGTCATGTAGGCTTTTGTGAGGCCACTGTACTTTGAGGAGATTCAAGCTGTAGATACTCTAATTGACATTTACAATTGAGTCTAACTTCCCCAGCCATCCAGATTAAGATATTGGACATGATATGAGTGAAGCTGATTGTACTCTCATTACCCTCTAACTAAATTTTATCTAATTAATATTTAGTGAACCCCCCAGCAATGCATATGGAACAGAAAAATTATCCACCTAAGTACAATTTGAATTACTAACCTGTAAATCATGAAATATAGTGTGGTAGTAGTTTGTTATAAGATAATGGATAACCATACTCTATGTTCCTGTTTTTGTCTGTTGTTTCTAGCAAAGAATCTTAGTCTTTTCTTACTAGTAGCCAAGTATTAGGGCTGATGCATTTATTTCTGCCTTGGGCCTTTATTCTTTACATATACTGCTTTCAAAAGCCAAAAGCATAGCTTTATCATTTCTGGTTTCAAAGTTCACACCTACCCTTAGAAAAACTTAGATTGCTTTTCTGTCTGACAGACACCTCTTAGTGTTAGTTTATTTTCAAGGACAGAGGTAATAGATACATTATTTGAAATCCAATTCATGGATAATCTACAGCCATCTTTCTGGACCATAGGACTATTATCTTAACATCCCTACCATTATAAATTCATAGCATCAAACCTACTTGATGGTCTTCATCCCTAATACCTCTGTTCCAGAAATCCACAGCTGCTCACCATTTCCCAAGTATATCAGATTCTGTCTTATTCTTCTTCCTTTCTATTCTTTTTGCCAACTCTTTCACTTAAAATTCTTTTCTTCCTATTTTCCATCTACCACATACCCAGTCTGCGAATCAACTGTGAAGCATTCCACAGATAGTCACTTCCTCCTCTGTTGCTGCTATAGCATTTTGTCAATCCATCTACTATAACGCCAATGATATTATTATTTTTGGTATAAGGAACTGCCTCCCTTACTACAATGTGAACTACCCAGGGATAAGGGCAGTTTTTAAATCTCTAGTGTCTCATATCTAACTCATAATAGATATTATATAACACTCAATGAATGTTGAATGAATATATAAATGAGAACAAATGAATTATTCTATCCACTTAACCAAAGTGAAAGTGTAAGGTACTGCTCCTACATCTTAATCACAGATCATCTCCTAAGCAACAACAGCCATTCTTTTAATCTGACAAAGCTAAAATATAACTGGCTTAGAGTTCTCACTAGCTCATAACCTAGTGAGCTAACATAACCTGTTTGCTCCAAGTGTTTATATGGTTTCAGTTAACTGCTCTGATCATTCATTCATTAAGCTCTCTCATATCCCATTTGTGCATAGGCAATTATGCAAAGCACAGAGTGAGACACAAAAAGAACAAAGGCATGGCTACTGATCCTAAAGAGATCATAGTCTAATGTTGAAAGAGAAAACAAAAACTCATGAGCAAAACAAGTAGTATCACAGGAAAGCTTCAGGTTTAAAGGGAGATACATATACCTATGAGTCAGGTGATAAAAGAAATGTCATGAATTACTGACATTTGAAACCAACTTTGAAGACATGATGGAATATAAATGATTCCATTTATATGAAAATTGCAGTCATAACACAGTATACTAGTTTTTTATGAGAAAAATTGGACTGGAATAAAACTCAGAATAATGGTTGGTTCTGGGTGGATTGTGTTGGGTATTGACTGAGAAGGGGCATTAGTAAGATTCCTGAAGGAATAGAAATTTTCCACTTCTTGTAGAAGTTTGGGTTACACAATATATACATTTATCAAAACTCACTAAATGATGTATTTAAAACTTATATACTGTACATGCATAAATTAAAAGAATAAGAACTATAATTCCATACTCTTATTATATGCATTTAAAGACAGTTGTACTTAGAAATGCATCAGAAAAATAAAAGAGATTGATGGATGTGTAGGGAGATGGGTATTTAGTAAAGCAAGCATAGGATATATAATTGGTAGAGTCCAAATGATGGATCTACAGGTTAGTACTGTAGTTTGCGTATTTAAAAATTTTTAATAATAGAATGAAAGCAAGACATTTGTATAAAATTTACATTTCAGTATAATAATCATATCTTGGGAGAAGAATAGAAAAGAAGATAGTATGTACGTAAGTAGATGTAAAGCTATGGCACTCTTTCAGCTCTGAAGTGGAATGCTGTGATAGGTATTCCTATTTTATTCATATCTTACATATATTTTAAATACATTATATAATATTTCATACAATTAAAAATCAGAGTAGTACATCAAAATTTGAGATCTGTTAACTAGTAAAAACTATAATGAAGGACCGTTCATTAAGTAACATTCCTACCATGTGACATTTCTATTTATCCCAGCATGTTTGGGCCCCACAAATCTAACACAATTGCTTACCTGAATCTTCATTTTTATTCTTGCAAACTTTCCAGGGTCTGGTTATTGACTCTAGAAATATCTAGTTCTTTTAACTTTCTTCTCAATCCCTAAAGGGCATATTTCTGAACCAAAAACCTCCCCTGCCAGAAAAAGAGTGTATTGTACTATGACAGACTATTCTTCCTGTAGCAGCAGTCTTTGCTGTGGTCTTACCATTTGTGGAAAATATTTAATATGTCTGAAATCTAGTGAAAACAAAAGGGGAATAAAAATTATAAACCTGGCTGTTTCTGCTTAGGAATGAAGACACAGTGGTGCAGAAGTAAAGTGGGTATGGCTCCACAAACTAGGAAAGTGTAAGTGGCTCACCGGATGGTATTATATGTAGTTTTTGAGATTATTTTTCTCCTATTTTTGAATTTACCAAACAGGACAAAAGTTACTAAAAACAAATATAAAAGAGAGAACATGTTAACACCTCCATTATCATTAATTATCTCAACTTTTCTTACTTTTCCTTTAGGGTCAGTATTTTTGTCTCTATGAAGAGCTGTGTAATATCTTTATATATAATAATTTCTAAGTTAGGGCAGGGATGAGTAAATTACATATTTTTCAGCAGTATTTTACAAATTTTAATCCTAGCCAAACCATGTGTGGTGTTTCTTTGGGCCACTTCTTTCCTCTTTGTGAATTTCAGTTTCTTTATCTGTAAGGTAATTTTATTTCATTGAGTCTATATTGCCATAAATACCTTCTAATATATTACGTGCCACTAAGGAAAAAAAATAGATAACGCAACTGAATCATAATTGTTTGCTTTTTATCGCACTATTTATAGATTGTCCTGAATATATATGTGTGTTATAATTCATGAAAAACACAGTACTTTCAACCTTCTGAGTTTATAAGGAATAAGTAAGACTTAAAGTATTGACCAGAGTTATAAATGCTCAGTAGCGTTGGTGGTGATGGTGATTTGATCAAGACCATGTTGTGAAGTGTGGTACTCATTGTTTAGGTTATTCTTTGGGGATCAGAATCATTAGGTAATCTTGATGAGCTTTGTCAGAATATCCACTTGTTTTGAATTTAAAATTAATTAATAATAACTTAACATCTTCCCTTAATTTTCAGAAGTAATTCTTTTAATTATTAGCACTTTGTTACCTTTGAAATTTCCTCGAAGACTATTACTAAAGTTTTCTCCAGGAATAAGTTCTGTTGATATATATCACTTTCTGAGTTGGTTGAAGTCGATTTCTATGAAGGGAATTTAGTTAAACTGCACAGTATGAATGAAAGACCCCAACATTTAAGACTTTACGAAATTGCATTGTTGACATTATGATGTGAGGCCCAGATCTTAAATAATTTTTTCTCATTTTCCTGTCTACATAGGAGGCAGACAGTGGGGAGGAGGAATGCCGATCACAGCCCAGGAGGTATGTTTGTTCTCTTTATCCTGTAGTACTTCTCTAATTGTTTACCAGTTTGTTCATATTAACTTATCTTGGGTTCCAAATTGTTTCTCTCAAAATGGGATTGTTTTAAGAATCCAGATGCTGACTCAGAGCATTTTAAAATGGGAACTAAATTCCCTTGCCCTTTAGGAAAATGTCAACTAAAGAATATTTCAAACTCCAGTTTTATGTTTATCTTTCATTTTGATAGATTTTGGCAATTATTGATTAGTCAATATCCTGCTTCCTTAAAAAATGATATACTCAATAACTTAACCAATCTTTTAAAATACAGTGAAATGTTTTTCATCCCCCTCGTGGATAGTAGGTGTGTTGTTATAAGGGTACCAATACCATTATTGTGAGAGAAATTTAGGAAGTATATAATAACATTTCTGGTAGCTCCTTTGAGTGTTTTTTTTTTTTTTTAAATCAACCCACTCCCACAAGTAAGCTCTATATGGTTATTTAAGTGTTACCAAAGTTGTGTCTTCTGAACTCAATCAAATGAACTATCCTGGACGATAAAGAGAAAGGGTTATAAAGGGTATAATCATGTTCAGTGTGGAGAGAAGCAAGCTAAAGGGAATGTGTCTGTAATGGATAGTTATTAGGTGTTTGTTGATATATACTTCACTCTCGTAAAGTACAAGTTAATGTAAAAATACTTTTTATCAGCAACTGAGGTTATTCAAAGTACGTTTTCAGTCTTGGTTATTACAAAGAAATTTGGCTTAATGGATAATTTTGTACTGTCTCATATTGACAAGCTGATAGTGTAGTGTCATTCTTTTTGTATAAGGCTAAAATGTAAAAACACAGAAAACGTATTAGCTAAATGCTCACCAGAGGCATCATAACCTTGTTCCTATTAGGTTGTTGAAAGGATTCCAAAGGATTCTTAAATTTTCCAGATGCCAAATTTAAGAATCTCTGGATTAATTTCAAGCTTTATGTATTCACTTGGCATCTGCTGGGATACTTGTTTCAAAATATTACATAATGATGAAGCTATGCAAGTCTGTTCTCTTATTCATAGCACTGTATTGTCAAGCCTTAAAAACCATAAGGGCGCCTGTTCTTTAAAGCTGTTATCAATCAGCCTAATTAATATGACAAGCAGAGGATTTTTTAGGTGGTTTATAGAATAAGAAATGGAGAAAAGTCTAGTAGTACTGATTTAAGAAGATCAGATAATAACCTGTTTTAATTTCTTGGTTCAGTATGTTTGCCAGGCTGTTTACAAATCTAACTGACTCCAAGCAAAGAAACTGATATTAAGTGCCAATTGAATGTCCCATACAGATAGATGGCTGATTTTTGTGTGTTTGTATGCTACTAATTTTTCTGGCTTTCTCTATGATTTGCCACAGAATAAACCAGTATTGCATTAGTGTCTTCATTGAGTATGCCTGGATTCATCTTGTCAGTTTGTGGATTCAGTTGTGGTTTACAATACAGAATTGAATCATAAACAGCATATCATTAAACTAAATGCTGGTTCCAGGTGATAAAAAAGATGTTGCATTAGTAATTTTTAATCAAATGCCATTTATTGAGAAAGTCATAAACTAAAAGTAATCTTTAAATTTAACTAGCGCAAACTCTGATACTTTTAAAAGCCAATGTTCATGGGCAATAACAGCAAAGTAGATAAATTAGACTATATCAAAATTTAAACTTCAGTGCATCAAAGGTCATAATACAGCAAAAAGGCAACCCACAGAATATTAGAAAATATTTTCAGATCTTACAGCTGATAAAGTGCTTATGTCCAGATTATATACAGAAGTCTTTCAAGCCAACAAGAAAAAACTAACAACCTGTCCTAACTTGGGCTACTTTAACAAAATACCATTATATGGTATTTTGTTTAGGTTAAACAACAGGCATTTTCATAGTTCTGAAGCCTGGGAAGTACAAGATCACTGTACTGTTCCTAGTGAAAAACTTTCTTGACTTGTAGACAACAGCCTTCTTACTATGTCCTCTTGGGGCTATGAAAGAGAGGGTGCTCTGGTCTTTTTCTCTTCTTATAAGGACATTCATTAATCCCATCTTGGTCCCAGCAACCCCCAAAGTCTTAACTTATGCTAGCATCGATGCTAATATCTGAAGTTTAAAAGTATCGTCTAAATATCCATTAAATCAGGCCCTCCCTGGTGGTGTGATGGGTTAAAGCACAGCACTATGAAGCTATCTGATTCATAGCCACTGCAGTGCGAGTTCAATTCACCACCAGAGTGCAGCAGCCCTCTTCTGTCTCGCCCACTTCTCCCTTCAGCATTGTATTTTAGTACATCTGCCTGTTCTGCTCCCCACTCTGTCTCTGGTGAATTCTCTCACCCTCTCCTCCGCACGTCTGGCCTATACCCCAGTTTTTGTATGCATAAATAAATAAATCTTTAAAAACAACATCATAAATAAATAAATATCCATTCAATCAAATATGGGTGAGATTTGAGGCAAAATTCCTCTGGTATTATGAGCCTATAAAATCAAGCTATGCATTTCCAAAATACAATGGTAAGATAGGCACAGAATAAACATTCCCACTTCAAAAGAAAAAATAAAACAAAAGAAGAAACCAGCCCCAAGTAAATCCAAACTAGTAGGGAAATTTACATTGGATCTTAAGACTCAAGAATAACCATTTTGGGGGGAATGAGAGTAATGAAAACAAAGAGAATAATCCTTTTTGGTATAATACTATGCCCTCTTGACCCACTGAAGGAGTGGCTCTATCTTTAGGACCCATTGAAGTGATAATGTCATCCTCTCGGTCAACAGGATATTGGAGTGCTACATGTGTGGCAGCCTACATGTGTCACTCTTCTGGATGGTGGTCCCACCCTTTGAAACTGAAGTAGAGGCTGCCTTGCAGGCCCTGGTATGGGTCATAGTCAAAATAATCATCAAATCACTAGAAAATACTTGGTGTTCTTTCTAAACTTACTTTCTTATTTGTTGCAAAGTGAACAAACTTAGAATTTTCTAAATCTTTAAGTTCTGCTTTCTTTTTGTTTAAAAAAGTCCCTTCGATTCATTTATTTTCTTGTATCTTACTATCAGCATTCAGGAGAAATAAGCTGCCTCCTGAATACTTTGCTGAGCTAAACATCAAATTTCGTAGTTCATAAGTCCTACTTTCTACAAGACAGAATATGGACACAATTTAGCCAAGGTTTTTGCTATTTCAAAACAAAGGTTGCCTTTTCTCTGTTACCCAGTAACATGTTCCTCATTTCCATCTGAGATGTCATCAGAATGGCCTTTCTCACCATGTTTCTATCAACATTCTATTCATGATTATGTATTCTCTAGAAGATAGAAGACTTGCTCTCCAACTCTCCTTTTCTTTCTGAGCCCTCACCAGAATTTCCTTTCATACTTCCTTCATGATCTTTGAAGTTCTGCCAATGCAATTTGGAAGGTTGTATCAGCAGTGTGACATAGTTTCACTAAATACTGACTGACTGGCCCTTCCTGGTGGTGCAGCGGGTTAAAGCACAGCACCAAGAAGCTTAAGCCGTCTCTGCATGAATTCGATCCCTGCCTGCCCCGGAGGAGATCCACATGGCGTGGCAGAACTCTCCTGACCCGCCCGCTGCTCCCCTCAGCAGTGTACTTCGTCAATCTGCCTGTTCTGTTACCCACTCTGTCTCTGGTGAATCCTCTCACCCTCCGCATCTGTGGCCTGTACCCCAGTTCTGTATGAATAATACAGAATAATAATAAATCTTTAAAAAAAACAAAAACTGACTGACCTGCAGTAAGGTCTGCAAGTCTGGTGCCAGTAATCAATACTGATGACCAAGTCATCAGCCAATGGGATAACCTGGTTAAGGAACAGCTGCTGCTGTTTCTGAATGATAAAAAGAATGGCTTATTGAACATGTAAAGAATATATTCCACTCCAATTATCTGATTTAAGTGTTCTAATGTTAAATATTTTGAACACTTCATTAATACATGTCTTTTCATAAAAAGGATTATTACATCTTTCTGATAAGTAATCTAGGACAATTCCACTGTTCAAAACAGGAATCCAGGAACTGTCAACCCAAGAGATTCCAATCAAATTATCTCAGATATCCACCACTGCTATAATTCCAAAAATATTCTCACCTTATGGTGAGAATGAACATAACAACCAGGATGATGGAAGCAGTGATTTGAAGATGGTAAGAAGGAATGCCCAATAATACAGTTTCAAAGATCTGGGGGAAATAGTTGTTTGTTTTTTCAAAGACAAATGAATGCTGAAGCCATTCAGGATAATTTTTCCCCTCAACTCAATTATACATTATTTGTCACCAGTTTTTATTGTTAATTACTCTGAATATGAGATTATTTTTCAATCCACTCTAAGTTTAGGACATTCCTTTGTAGTTTTTCGTGCACATTAAAAATTACTATTGAAATAAATTCTTCACCTTTGGAAGTGTGCTTATTTCTACAGGGTACTTCAAATCTAGCAATGAAAAAAAAAACTTGCAGGATAGGGCATAGAGATATAGTAAGATGGGTTAGAGGAATCTCAGGAAATCTCTTAGAGGAGCTGACTCTTGAATGAATAGGATTTAGAAGAACAGAGTAAGAGCAACTATAAGAGGATTGGGAGAGTGGGAGGATATCATCAGAAATCTGGAAGTAGGTACTAATGTGTTTCAGGGGCAATACACCAATAATTGTCTTTATCTTACAAGCAGAGGCTAACAATGTTATGCACTATAGAGCAGAAGTTACTAGAGGTGGGCAATGACCTCCCATCTGACTAGCAGCATGAGGGTGGTAACTGTCTTTTACCCCAATATTTGTAATGATTTGCATGTAGCTGACAGTAAATTCTGTCAATGAATGAGAATAGAATGGTATCTTTAGTAAAAGTGACTTAGTTGATAGAAAAGTTGAGAAACAGGAAGAGTTCACTGATCATGTGATACAAAGTACTTGAGTAGCATAGTGAAGGAAAGCATGCA